TATKATATATAAAATATAAGAGGTTGGGATCTGTGAGTAAAAATATGAGTAATGAATAATGATGTAGGGTATGATTTTATTTTTTATTTTTAAGTTTGACAAACCATATTTCAACCCCTTTAGTCGAATACAGTGCATGTTTAACTTAACATAAAATATTGGCATTCAATTTCTAATTATATTGACAAAAAATTATGATGTAATATTTTTATTTTTATTGTACTTATAACATTGATTTAAATTGGAAAAAGTATTCTTATATATTATATAATAAATAAACCGGAAATTTACGACATCAAACTTTTGTTAGCAGGATTTGTGTTCGGCCGACTTTTAGCTAGAATTCTCTGAGTACATACAACTTTATTATCGTTGGTTTACGGGCTTGATAAAAAATGATGATATTTAAAAATGGGTAATATAATTTCAACAGGCCTATGATCCACCCTTAGATATTTCGGATAGATATTTGTTGTGCAGTGCGAGGGGAAGCTTCCTAGCCTAGGCTGTCAATAATTTCTCTCTCAAGCCCAAATTTTGACGCCGCTGTCGGTCATTATAATAACGTATAATATAATTATAATGTACGTCGTATTATTTCATTTTTGTATGCGACCGTGCTCACTCGGGAAACTTTGTTCGCGCGAAAAACTATTTATTTATACTTTTATACAGCTCCGACTATATTATGTAGTAATGGTAGAGACTTCAACGACTATTGCAGCCATATATACCTTATATACGCATAATTCGGAATGGCTCGTGCAAGTCCCGAGGCCGCGGGTTATTCGAGATGACAATCTCACACGGGTAGGTTAGGTAAATGCATAATGTGCAAGCTGTAGCCACGGTGAGCGGGGTGACGCGTGGGCGGTAAAATAGTGTGGCTGTTTCGCGGATGTCGCTGGACTCGTGTGCGGGCGACGGCGAAACGTCTGCTACGGGGAAAGCGTCGCGAAGTACCTATTCTTGTCCGTTACGATGTTAAATAAGTATACGGCTTACTATATGATGATGTTGATAATAATAATAATCGTCGTATATCGTATTACCTGCTAGCGTTCCCATCTATATAGGACTGGTCGGACAAAATAACACGCACGTATATTATTATTATTATTATTGTGTATTAAATATAATTTATTTTATTACAGCCCTGCACGTGTCTGGCCCAGCGATGGTGGTGAAATCCCGAAGAAACGCTTTCGTGATGCTTTCCGACTTCCCGAATCGCGAATATTGTGCAACACGGTCTTTCTCGTGTCGTGAATATACATTTTATTTAATGTATAGGTATACGATGATGCACATGTAAATGGTCCGTTGGTTCTTTTATGTACGAATTTGCGATCACACGCGGGCGACGGTTATTAGTTTATTACTTATTATATAGTACAACCATAATATTATAATAATTTAATAATCACCTCTCACTGCCACCGACAACCGACTAATTGCACCTGATGCGCATAATTCGAAATTGACTTACATATGGATATGGGTACATAATATAATAACGCCCAACTCGAACCTCGAAAAATCGAAATCAAAGCCGGTCGGCCGCTCATCGCGATATTATTTTTATTTAGGTACTCAATTTTTGACTTAAATTATTACGTCCGAGTTGCGAATTATTAAAAAATAATGGCACTAATGCGGAATTTTGTAATTACGGTAAAATCTTGGATTCTGATATGTCCTTGAAAACAAAAAAAAATAATAACATTGCGATTCCATACACTTTTCTCGAGGCGAGACAATCCAGATAAAAATTGATAGAAAAATAAAGTAGCGTATTTATTGGACGGTTCAGGGTTATAGTAGGGAATGATGTCCTTCGCAAAATTCGTCATCTATATTTTTGCGACGTCTTGCAAGCCGAGTTCACGAAACGACACGTAATATTTTTAACGCTTTCTCGTTAATAGTAAATAAATTAAAAACTAAACCGTAACAATCGTACACAATGAAAAAAAAACCGAATAGTGTATAGGTTCAACTCGGAGAGTCCGCAGCAGCGCGGAGATTGAGTTATGTAAAATTACTTAGCTTATTGTGCTATTATAATATAGAAGAACAAATTTTATTGTCCAACTAGTTGTGTTAAAAACGTGGGTACCTATTTGCTACTAAACACAATTGAACAATTTTTTTATTTGTATTCAACAACATACATTGTTAAATTTAATAAGCGTACAATTAACAAAAATGATTTTAAAATGGGTCTTAAACAGACCGTTAAACGTCACACACAAATTATTCGAATCAATATCAGGGGGAAAATATATTAGTAAGTATACTTACTAATAATAATACAATCTATCCAATAAATAAATAGAGAGAAGTCGTCCAATGTTAAGAGCATATGGACATATGGTACACCATTTAGAGGTTGACGGTATATCCCGTCATCATGCAATCCTGTTTTCGAGACGTTATTTTTTTTATGTTAGTAGTGGCCAGTGTAATCTGTTCGGGTCGAATGCCCGAGCCACTATATAGTAATATAATACCTACTGTATGTTACAATACGTGACATAGCTAGTTGAAATCATAAATAATCTTTTCAGTCACAGTCATCACTCCATCTATTCTGCAGTACCCACTACTGGGCTTTTCCATATGTGCGTGTAAGAAATTACGTGCCTGTTATTTTCTGGTTACGCAGCTTTCATCGGCGCTTTGTCCGTCCCGCGCGTTTAACGCCGAGAACAAAAACCGAACGGAACTGTGGTACACAGACTGGAGAGCAAAACTCGCCGAAAAATAATAATCATAACGAAAAAAAACGATGACAGAGGAAGATTAAAAATAAAGTGTGTGTTACGCAAGTTTTTGTATGAACATCAACCTACACCCGTACCGGGATACTCATGTGAGCGATGGAAATACCACTTCCGAAATGTGTGTGGCGTGGGTACTGCATCACATCGACAATGGATGCTGTACAAAATTATCGAAACAATAATAACATACTAAACAATTAGAAGAAAGACTATATTTTTTTCGGTATATGTTTAACCATATGGCCGTGTTGATATAGGTTTTCCGTGGTTGATATTAGTAGGTCGATGACACCAACTCACAGGTATCTAACTATAAAATGTTATAATTATAACTACTTTAAACCGTCCGTAGATGTAATCGAAAAGTTGTTCAGTGATAGGTAGTATTATAGCAGCAAACAGTTTTTAAAAGTGATTCAGATATTTTTGATATTATTTTATCCGATTTAAACTAATATCCAAAATATGTCTGGGTATATTTATTATAATAATAATATATTAATATAAAATTCATCATCAGGGCCATACAACATATTATTATATTGTAGTATTATGTTGTTTGTCTTGTTCGAAAACCCACGTGCTGTTTTTTTAAACCACTCAAGATACCTCTACGATTTTTTTCGTTTGACGTACCTTTATATTGTTTTGTATACAAAACTGAAGACCGACTATACCAGATAATGCGTTTGTGGTTCGGTTCAGTATTACGATGTGTATAATATCAGAAAGTTGACTGACCATTTTATTTTTTATGCTCGTATTACTATCGCTCGTATGATTTCGAACAAGCAATATCTATACACGATATTTACGAATCCGAAAATACAATATAAAATATATTAAATGGTTGACAGGCCACACACGATTTGATGTAGAGATACTTTTAAAAGTGACAGTAAATTTATTGTTTTGAAATTTTTGAAGGGTTAAATATTAAAATACATTTTTACAGCCTGTCCTTAAAACGAAGATTGAATTATGTAAGAATACTTCAACGACAATCGGCTGTTATACGATTTTACGACATATCTAGACAAATACATTTGGATATATTATAATAACTGATATTTAAACTTGTATTTCAATCGAATAATCAAAACTATGCATTTAATTATTAAAGTTGATAGGGCGGGTCTAAATGGAAATTTATAATTAGATTAATGTTTTCTTACACTATAGTTAAACCATGGTGTATACGAACTCCTATGGTTATATCGAATTTTAAGGATAACGAAAAATGTTCGAGATATTAATCGAAAAATTCAAGATATCGACTTTTCTTGGAATGATAGTTTGGTGTAATGGTAGTTTTAAGGAATTTAGTTTGAGATGACGAAAAATTCGAGGTATCGGCTTAATAAGAATCTACTTTGTGAAGGTATGTATACATACATATGGGTATGTTAAAATTATAATTTCCCAACAAATCAAAACAATTATTAGAACTTAAAATGTATTGTAATTATTCTTATAATCTAAAGTATTAATGATTCTTATGTTTAAAGTAGACTCCATATGAATAGCTGATGCGGTTAGTATAGTTTTTAAGAAATTACCGAAACCAGAGTAAATACATAGTATATATTGCTTGGAATGTATTACGAGTAGATAGTTTGTGTTTAGTTTAAGTCTTTTTTTAATGTAAATCGACGCATTCAAGTAAACAAGAATGTTGAGACTGTCGGTTTTTTAAGTACACTCGTCATTGTTTGTAGCGATATAACGTAACCGATATATTGAATATAAACTACTTCCAAATTTGGAACGTCGCGTCGGACTAACGCGAGTGTCTGGCGCAGCCGACGACTGCCATCAACCTGCAGCGAGCTACCGGCTGCAGGCCCGTTGACTGAAGGTATAAATAATGATAAAAATAAAAAATAAAAAATACAATAAAAGCTATATTTAACGATAGGTCTATTGGCGTATATTATATAATATTATGATGTTGTCTACTATAACTATCGCATAATATATATTCGTAATAATGTTCTGATATTCTGAGCAATAAATAGGTACGAAAGTGGATCGTAAAACTCCCGTGCAATCAAATAGAATAATTCAACCGTTACCAAAGTACGATCGGTAACAAAAAAAGATCGAACGAAAAACAATATGTGGGCATATAATGCAATATCAAAATAATTATAATAATAAAATAATAATAACCTTAGACATATAAAATATCATAATAATATATAAAACACATACCCTATCTCGTTTTAGCTGGTCGTCGCCGATTCAATTGTATAATATTAGTAATAAATCGTTTGCTGCGGAGAAGCAGTAGTAGCTAGGTATACGTATATTATAATATTATTATTATTATAGCGATGATTGACCGGACAGACGGATTTCGTTAATTGGCGTTAAAAAAAAAATTGATTTTAAATCGCACTGAAACCAAATTGGTCGAGATTTTCGCGACGGCGGAAATAAAACACGCGATATAAAAAACGAATGTGTCGCGTCGATTCCTGTTGACGGTTATGAAAACCGATACATATATATTATTATTGTTTAAAATGTATATAATTTATTTACTATGATAACGCAACCAGATTATAACGTAATTCGCGTGATAACTGCGAATTTCTATTATACCGCGTGGGCGTAATAATAATATAATTATATGACAAAAAAATAACAATAATAATATTATGATATCTCGTCGTGTATAGGCTCGAAGTCGCACGTGTCGTGAAAATTTTCGCGTCGTCCGCCACCGCCGACCCGGTCGAACGTGTTTCGCGTACTGCGGCTCGGCAATCGTCTCGCGTGCCGGCCGGGCGCGCGACACTCCGGCGGCGAGAGTTCACCGTCCCCACCGACGACGACGAGACCGCCGACCACATAATAATATCATTATTATTATTATTATTATTATCGTATACCTATGATGATGACGATGACGATGATGATGATGATAATAATAATAATATACGCGTACGTTTGTGTTGACGCACTCGTTCGGTTCGATTCGCGTGCGTGCGCAATGCACATATGCTGCATATGCTGCATATTGTAGGTATATACAGAGCGACGCGGAAACCGGTGTGGAAACGATTTTTCCTCGCGTTTTTACACTCCCCTCGACAACCCCCCCCCCCACATACACACACACACAACAACCGTAGTCCGACCACCGCCCGACGCCCACTTGGCACTGAATGCGTGCCAGTGACTGTCTGTGCGTGTGTACAGCGTACACGACTGTATGTGTGTGTGTGTGTACGAGCACCGTGTCCGCCGCGGGTCTCTCCTAAAATGGTCAACACCAGACGAGCGCGCGCGCACACACACACACGAGTACACCGAGTATTACATATTATTATTATTATTATTATTATATACAATAATATGTAAAGTTGGGTACTTGTGTGGAAGCAGACCGGTGACAGCTGACCTAAGTCTGGATTTGCCATGTTCATCGCGGTATATGTGCGTGAAATTCGGTGATTAACGTTGTGTCGTTGTAAACGTTTTTRGGTGTAATCTTTTGTTTTTATCAGTTAGCCAATAATGGTCACGTTAATGATTCTGTTGTAGTTGCGAAGCACAATATCGTATAACRTTTTCCTAGGGTTCAGAACGCGGCCGTCTGATATCTGTTGATCGAGGAAAGSTTTCCCGAAAAAACAATCTTTAYATGTATACATCATCATGATATTATTGTSCACGATAAAACTCAAATAACAGGTGCGGCGGAKATTTCGACTGGACTTGGCCCGGTATCTAGAGAGTCTYGTTTTTAATTTCATTTTCAATTTCGAAATTCCCCACACCTCCCGCCGAGGAGGCAAAGATTCGTTGAGCGGCTGTGTTCACCGTTAGCCGACCGTTCCAACGTATTATGATATATACCTATAATCTACATGCACAATAGCTAAAAGTACGATTAGGTCGTGCGCGCGTCGGAGAGCCACTTGTGTTCGTGTACTTGACAATAATAATAATAGTACCAGCTATATATATATATCTATATATGTATAGGTACCTACCCAATAATAATGATGGCAATTATTATTATTATTATTCAGACGGTGGCCAAGAGCGTTGAAAATACCAAAGGAAAATAAGACTTATTCACATAATATTATAATCTATAGTTATATTAGTTATACGCATATAGGTATACGAATTTATTAAACGAGTCCAACGCRCAGCTTAATATTCATTTATTGCGTTCCCACGTCCTCGTTAATATTGCATTTTTATAGAACGTGGMTCATATTATTTGTRAAAAATCCATAATAATTAACTTTTCGTCTTCAAACCGACCGTTTCAGAGAAGTGCATAATTTATTAATTATAGGAAATTATTTTCCAACTTCTTGAGATTTGAGATAAGTATTCATCATATTATATCATGACATACAACAAAATCACGAGTATAATGTGAATGAARTAGTACGTCATCGATTCGATATTATAATTGTTTACATCTCAACGGTGTGTTTAATTTTTGATAATATAATATCTCTACTATTCCACAGCAATRTAATATACCTTGAGTAACGTTTTCCAGGGACTTAGATAATCGCAAATTAAGAGGATTAACCTTGTCTTCAAATATGAGTTGATTTTTTATCTTTCGGTTTTTTTWTCTTAGCCTTCCGGTGTTAAACCATAATCGACCTCCATTAACAAAATAATACATAGATAAACCAACTTATCACCGAACTATAAATGCGTATATTATTCCGAATATACCACTCGTCTTTAATATTTTATTTTAATTATTAATTACCACTATTTTTCATCATAAATATATTTTAAAGGACACGCATTTATATAGGTACTATAAATAAATATGACTTAWAATAAATAAAAACTCTTCCGTTAATAATGAGTGTAAAAAAACTATCATTATAGATAGTTGATACTAAAAATGGATTTCGAACCATTTTATAAGGAATACAATATGTTCCCTTTGTAATTAGTAAACAACAATATCAGATATGATATAAGATATTATAGTCTTACAGTGACTTGATATTAATGTAAAAACAAAAATGAAATGGTACCACTTACGAAATTATTTTTGAACAATAAGTTCAATGTAAACTTAATAACATCACTCTGAGCCGTAAGTTATAATAGTAATAATAATAATTATTATTTTTATATGCATTGGAATTTCAATTGATTACAATAAATAGGTTTAAATTTGTTCATTTTGTATGTTTTCCAGCTCAAACGACAACAGTAGTGACATCTGAGAAACATTTTGTTCTCGCGTCAAAGTCTAACGAATTAGGAAMATCGTTGAAATCCGAATTGATCTATGTCCGCGATTGTGTACACAATTCCGGGAAATCATCCAACCGTGTTTGTCAATACGCAATTATCCCGGGAGATACGGTCACAAAATTGAACGCATCGACTAGTAATAATGTAATATTATAATTCGGATTCAACGTTTGACGCGTTAAAATTATAAACGCGGTCGACGTTGAATTCGAATTAAATTAATAGAAGAAAAAAGCGAACTCTTAATACTGCATATTATAATATTATAATAATGCATTATTATTTTTAATATTATTATATGCATAAGAATAACCACACTCATACTCACACACGGAGGCACAGAGCTGTCAGGTTTACGGCTTATGCAAGTTTATAATAATATTATGTGCATGTAGCCAAACGAATGCACCTACAACTTGTCTGAAGTGGCGGCGACGATTGTAATGCATTCGGTCAAATGTGAATATTATATAAACGTCCTCAAACGCAATCATTTAAATGTGTTCTAATAAAAGTCTGCATAATATCAGCCACGACCACGATAGTTGTTGCATTAAATACATATATATATGTATTATTATTACATTATTGCATTATGTCTAAGGTGTATTCAATATATCATATGATTATAATACTATGACAATAATGGTAATACACTAACACTTGTAGCACAAACGATTTGTTTGGTGTCAATATTATACAGTTCTGCTTATTACATACAATGAATAATATCGACAATATCGTGCTATAAATACAAATACAATAACCTGGACGATTGAATATAAAAAGTGTTTGAGAGACTTTTTACGTTCTTTGAGYGATAAAAATATTTCCCAGGCCTGAATTTGATGGCAATAACGACGGCCACGGCCCACGAGGACGTCATCGATTTTCCCGGAGACTTTAACGAATCGCACGCAATTCATAACAACGTTATAATCATTATATTATTATAACTTATAATAATATAATGATTGTTGCATCGTAAGAATATACATTGTACATTYAATATGATGTCATATTGTAACGTTTTAGGATAGTCCTCATGGCATGGAAATACTGCAGGTACATATGGCACGAGTCTTGACATCGACGATATTTAATCTCATATATACCAATAAAATGTTATAACGATGATCGGGCAACATAATAATATTTATAAAAATAATAACATAGCATGACTTCGATAATAACTGTATTCATTGGATCATAAGACGAACACGTCTTCTTCAATATACACAACGAGTCGTAATAACGGTATACTATTAGGGTATTATCAGCTAGTATTACCTACAATATAGCAGTTTGTTGTCAACGGTTCAGCAGCAGTGTCACGTACTAGGGTGGTATTATATGTAAAAATATAATATCATTGACCTTTTTATGCATAATTTAAATAATATATAATATACAGGGTATTTATAGAACGAATGTGGAATGTTATAAGACACAAACATAATAATATGTGGAATGATCTAAACTGAAAATGTTGGAATTTTTATCTTATAAATAAGGATTTTTTATTTTTATTTTTTAGGTAACTACTAAAATTTAGAAGTTGTCAAGATATTCCTGGCAAATTTCACATGCAAAATCATATTATGTTCCACGACTAGCTCAATTTTTTGTTTACATCATGTGGGATGTCATATTTGTTGATGTCATAATCKAAAAAAATATGTGATCTAAAATGTCATTGTTTGATAGACACCAATAAGTGGTGGCAGATATCACCAGGTAGAAACAAGTAACGACGYGGCATAGCAGATTCCAGATATTGACAGGTATTTAAACAGCTGGAAAAAATAATGACAAAACAATAGTAAAAAYAAACTCAGCGTGAGTACAATTAATATTCTGTTATATGTTTTTGCCACTTCACAGAGTTTGTTTATTCAGATGATAACTTTCGTTATTGAAACACCCTATACATATTGTAATGTGTCTGATGATTTACTACATAGCGTTTATTATTACTAATATAATAATCGGCTTACTTACTCGTGAGGTACTGCAGGTTGATGATAAGTACGTAATGAGTATTCTGAAACGGATCCCTCGGATTGTCCTCCATCAATCTGTATCGTGTTATTCCTATAAAAAAAAAATATATAATGTTAACTCCGTGTTATCATGGACCTACAACCTACCTCCATCTCCTGTGCATCGGGTGTAAAGCGTTCAGGTAGGTATACTAAAAAGAAAAAGATAAGAACAAGAATGATGTATACGTGTCCCGTTATTGCTATTATAGGATGGAAGAAAAGAATCAATAAAGATAAGCCATAAACAAAATATACMATGTAATACCAAAACATTAAGGACACTAAAAGTGTTTTTAAGACAAATAAAATATTATATGTATACCATGTTCGTTTAAATTGTAAATACTGTTATTTTAATGCCTATATAATACCTATGTTTTATCACAGAATAACCAGAAAGGGCACTTTTTAAGATAAACGTTTAAACTTTATAACTTAATTATAACTAATAAATTATATGGTTACAAGTATAATTTGCARTAACCATGGTCTAAGATATAACCAACGGCCGGTATACGTTCTTATAGGGAACATATTTGCAAAA